GGAATTGCGGCTCTTCCCTGCAATTTGGGGAGCTCTCATCAACCTGCACCCCATCGCCAGCACCCCCGGGGAGACGGGGGGGACCGGTGCTCGGTGCCCGCTGTCCCCGGTGCGGCGGGGGCTGGTGGCTCCGGAGGAGGTGGGATGGGGGGGGAACGAAGCGGCGGGGGCTCCCCGGCACCGGGAATGAGGGCTCCCGGGCACCGGGAATGGGGCTCCCGGGCACACAATGCCGGTGGTCAAGTGGCTCCGCGGTGGGGAGGGCGAGTGGGGAGGGCACACAATGCCGGTGGTCAAGTGGCTCCGCGGTGGGGAGGGCGAGGGGGGAGAGAAGGGTGATGGGGTTGGGGGGGGGAGGGGGAGGTTGGAGGGGGGGAAAAAGGAAAAGGCGGCCACTTACTCGGAAGGATCGAGGCTTTTCCTCTCGATGGCCGATGACATTGGGAGGGATTGTTCCTTTGTAGCGTGCCGGTGGTGGGCTCTGCCCCCGCTGCCCCCGCAAAGGCTGTCTGCTCTCGAAGCCTTGTCACCAGCCGAGTTCCCCCTCCGCCCCCCAATGACATTCACAGGATTTCCTCCTGCAACACCAAAGAGACACAGAGACAGAGAGAGAGAGAGAGAGGAGAAATATGGGCTGGGGCGGCTGCTGCTGCTGCTGCTGCTGCTGCTCCCCCGCCGGGCTCCGGCCCCGCACGGCTCTCACCTCCCATCCCCGCAGCGCTCCCCCGCCGGGGCACCTCCCGCCGGGGCTCCGGTACCTCCGGTGCTGGCGGAGGAAGGTGGGAAGGGGTGGTCGCCTCGGTTGCCACCGCTGCCCCAGCCCCCCGGGAGCTCCCCGGGGCTCGGTTCAAGCTCTGTGTCCGGGCAGCTCTGCCGGTTCCCCGGTGCCGGGCGGGGATGCTGGAAGCGGGGAGCTCAGCATGGCTATTCTTATGATTAACTCCGTGGCTCAGCCCCGGGTCTCTGGTTTCATTTCCTTTTTCCTGATCACGATTCAAAATACAATAGAAGGAAATCACACTTAAAGAGACAGCTGCCCGTTTCTTAACCGGGCTCCTGGGGGTTTAGCAATACAAACAGCAGCATCACGACTCGCTGGGTTTCTTAAAGAGACAGAGCCTGGGGCTCCCCGGGAGCTGACGTCGCGTTTTCCCATTCACAAGGGCAATTTAATAGCACTTTCTGGGTGGGCAGGGGGTGCTCAGGTAGGCAGGCAACCTGGAAAGGATCCCTAAGGGCTGGAAAAAAACCTAAGTGGCCGTTTCCATGTCACTGGCTGCTCCTCAGCCTCACACAGGACCGAAGCCTCTCTCTCTCTCCTCTCCCTCTCCTTCTCTTACACACACACGCACATGCACACACGTATTTTTGCACGGTACCTCCAGATCCACAGGCAGAGAACCTTAAGTGTTATCTTTCTACCTAGGGATTCGAATTGGTCAAGTAAATTGTGTCTCATTTATATCCCCTAGTGCACATCTACGGGTCTCGTCTTGGCAAGCCATAGAACCAATTTATATCTTGACGCCGTTTTGATGTTAATGAGCTATAAAAGCCGGAGAGTACGGAGTATCGATCTGTAATTAATCACAGGGAAGCTAAAGATGGGAAAGTCTTGCCTGGATATCTCTTGTTTCCCCTCCCACCCTTCCTCCTCTCCATCAGCACGGCACATCCCGGAAAGGACTGATTTACCAGTGCCGGAGTGAAAACTGTTACTGCAATTCCAGCATTTCCCAGTCTCTGTGGCATTAGATACTGGCCCTTGCTGGAGGCAGAGTTCTGGACGAGATGAACTGCTCATCCTGTTAATTCCTTTAAAAACAGTAAGAAAATATCTGTAATAAAGCACTATGGAATGGTAGTAGAAAGACTTCACTTCCATATCAATTCCCAGAAGAGAAATGTATTTGATGTCTATTTTTATGACTACAGTCTAATTTTTGCAGCTTTTTGGCAGCTCGGGATATAATATCTGCAATACATTAATGAGCCCGATTCAAAGATTAGTAATGTCAGCAGAAGGACTGTTATTCATTTCAAGGGGCTTTGAACCGAGCTCTCGCAATACTTTAGAGCCATCACTGGTCATTAGGACACATCTTTCTTATTATAAAAGAATCATCTTTCTTATAAAAACATTATCTCCGATGTATTTTAAGCTATTACAGAACGACAGTCATTCTTATTTCTGTTAAAGGAAAAGGCTCTTTTGTTGGGTTTTTGCAGACAGGACTGAATCGGAAGATGACTATTTAATTTCTGATGTATTTACACTGTGATCAGAAAAGCAAAATGTAAAACTTACCAGAAGACTGAAAAATTAAACTATTGCAAGACACCTACCTTCGCCCCCACCTCCCTCCAAAAAAAAAATCTGCTTGGAAACTTTATTATGTTAGTTCGAAAAAAACAGAATTTGAAATTAAAAGGGGATAAAAAACATGCATAAGGGCTTCAAACATACACATTTCTATGAGCTTGGTTTCTCCTGGCTCTGCGTCTCGTGGTTTAACAAAGTATAAACTCTGAGTCAAAATGTCCCTGACTGGGGGTATTCACGTTCTGAAGAACTCCTGATGGAATAATGGGAACAATACCATAATGCCCGGTAAATTTTCTGGTTTCAGATGACACAGTTGAGTGTACACCAGAGACACACTGGCCCACTGCCTCCCTTCTATTTATTTTTCCAAAATTCACAGGAAATTAATATCTTTAATTAACCTCTGTCCCTTTGTCTATCTAAAAGAGATCAGCTGGTTCAAAAGTTTTGGTGAAGGACAAAACCATCAACATTGGCACATAAGGAACTACTTAATTCCTTAGAAAAACAACATAAAAATGAGGGCTTAGAATATACAGTGACCAGTGATTATTGGAAAAAATATTTTTTTAAGTTTTTGCAACACCTGTAGTCCTTGCTTTGGTCAACCTACCTCAGGTCTAGCAGATAACCTCCTTTAAGCTATTGAGATATTCTTCATGTTCACAGTTGGACAGACCAAGAACACTCTCTGCTTTGCAAGACCAACCCCTTCACCTGCAGAAAGCTTCTCCGCATAAAACCAGCAGAACAGCACGCAATAAAGAAGCTGAAGAGGACAATTTATGTGTTTTTACTGTCATCCTTTTCAGTCAGATCCAGAACAGACTTTCCTAGAAAAAAGAAGTCAGATCTTTAAGGCAGTAGTGTGATAGCGCAGGGACCACTCCATGGGACCTCTCTCCTCTTCTAAAAAGAACTGTAATCAAAACACACAAGATTATTTCTTGTTTGCTCTCTTTCCTATGATGGAGAGATGCTGGGCAAAGTCGGGAGCTATGAAAAGTGAAAAAAAGCAGTCAATTTGCTGGTACATAACAAAATACATGTGTTGCTCCACTGTGCTTAACGGGACAGTGCTCGAACTCGATCTCTCAAACAGGAACCAGAAAAAGTGGTGTGAGGACTAAAGCTGTCAGGGTATCTTCAAAAAATCACAGAGCAAAGACACCAGGCAACACTGTGCATCAGGTGGGGTTTCAAGCTAAACCAAAACATGGCTTTGCAGGCCTTAACGTGGGCAGAAGATGGACAGAAGGTTCCAAGAAGCAGCGTCCTGGCCTGATGGGTGTCCACCAAACTGCTGGGGGGGTGCTTTGCCCCAGTGGCATTTCATGAAGCACCTTTTCTTCCTGTTTCTGTGCTGGCATTTAGTGGCAGTTCCCACTGGATTCACAGTGGAAAGCCCAGCGAGAAGGTCCTTGGCATGCTCACCAGGAGCTGCATCTTCCAACACCTTTGAGGAACAAAGACGTATACTTTTCTCAGACTATTCAATTTTCTTTTGTTAGGTTTACATATAATAAACTCTTGCTCCAAACAGTGAAATTTGACATTTCCAGCTGAGTACTCTTATGTCCCACCAGAACAGATGACCAGGAATCAAGAGTGACTTCTTTTTTTCATCTTGGGCGAGTCCCTTAATACCTTTTTGCCTCAATCCGTGAATGTTTACTTCCACCAGCAGAATTGGCTGCTCATTTACTTTTGCCTCCCGCTGAATAACATTCCCAAAGACAAAGCGTTATTCAGCGCTAGAATTGGTGGTGCCGACATTTCCTGCACAGGGACAAAAAGACCAGCACTATTTTTAGTGAGGGCTTTTCTTTCCATTGTCCCTTTCTCTGTGAAGCTGTATTTTCCAGTGCTTTCTCATCCAGCTTTTTTTTTTTTTGTGTGTGTGCGCATTGATTGAAAATCCCGTGGGATGAGTTTTGGTTTCAATTAACTTTTATTAATATAGATCACGCTATAGACTAATTCTTGGAGCGTGGCTGAGATCAAACCCGCTGTTCGTAGCTGCATTTAGGATTCAGTGCTCGGAATAACGTGCTGTGAATAAGTTGGCTGGACTTTTCTAGATATTTCTCAACAAGAACATTTGATGTAAAACTGCATCGTTTCTATGAGAGGAGTCAGCTAAAGAAACAGCTCAACATGCTTGTTTCCAAAGAAGCATCCCCTCTTAGGCTCAGGGAATATTTTCAGCTTGGTTCTGGAAGGCTACAGGATCATCATCATCATCATCATCATCACCACCACCACTTCAGTCTCAGGTTGCTCCTACCTTTATTTCTTTAGTATATATATATTTCTTTAGCTTTATTCCCCCTAGAGCTTATGGATACTGTCGAACTATTTCAGATCACCCCCATTTAGGTCAGTAAGATTAACTTTGCTGCCCTTAATAACCAGTAATGCTGGTTGCCTAAAATGCAGTTTATGAAGATTGAAGTCTCTACGATTGAAGTCTCTCACCTCCTTCCCTCCACACATCCAACGGAAGCTTTGACACGCCAGCCCTTTGGATGACGCTCTAAAGAAATGGAAAGTTTGGGTTGGTTTGGGCTTGTTGAACACAGCTTTGACACTGCAGAATGAGTCGAGACCTTGGTCTCTGTTAAAGAACACAGAATACTCGAGGAGGAATGTAAACCAGCTACTGAGGCCATTTGACTACACCACGGGAGAATCAGTGCCATAGCAAGAGCTACTCATATTGCCACTCTGTCATACTAATACCATCAACGGCACCACCTAATTCCTGGGGAAAAAAATGTGTATTTATTGCCTTGTCATGGATCTGGAATTTTCTTTTTTAGTCAGTAATTTCTGTTCTGATCTGTGCAGTCTCCACAAGTGCTGGTTTGGGGTTTTTTTTTCATATCAAAGACATCATCATTCTCCTAGCTAGTACATCCTCTACCTCTCCTGGGGACAGAAGTGGGGATAGCAAGGATAAGGAGTCCTCCTTCAGTGATGACCACATGCACTAACTTGAATGTACTTTTGAGCCTTTTGGTAAAGTGTGATTCAAAAGACTTAAAAGACTCCTGACCAAGGACACACTTCTCTTTTTGGGGGTTAACCTTTCCTTTGAACTGGAAGAAAACAAACCAGAACAATAAAAACCACACTCGGGGTGAGGTTTGCCCTGGGACTGTGAGGTCCAGATGTTAGATAAGAAGCCTGGTGCATAAAGGAGTTTGAGCAGTTACAAACTTTTGTTTTGGTTTGCCTTATTTTCTTCAACAAGCAGCAAAGATGAAAAAAAAAAACCAAACCACAAACCACCAAGTCTGTGTTTGTAGCTGAGAGATATCTTCGACTGCAGGTCACACCACAGATGATGGAAAGTAAGTCACGGGCAGTCAGATGAAGGGATATTTCACTGCAAAAACGTGAAAGGTTCCCCCCTTCCCATTTCTTCTCTCTTCTTTTATTGATTTCTCTTGCTCCCATCGAGCTCTTGCTGCCTGGCACAGGAGCCAGATCCAATTACCCTGTCATGGTTTTCCTAAGGCTCTACATATAGTCCTTTCAGGTGATTCTGCCTTTTTCCACCATAAGTACTCTCTCCTCTGCTTCTGCATGGGGATCACCCCAGTAGGGCACTGGGGACAGTTTTTATTTTGGTATTAAATATCTCATCCCATCCTGCGTGTGTCAGAGGAGAGACACATCTGAACCAAAATAGGCTTGGAGTCGGAGCCCCAAATACTTAGAGTTTAGAAAATAAGTAGTGACTGGGAAAGCAATTCCCTCAGGGAAAACTTCAGAGGGAGCCACAGACCAAACCGAAACCGTCGCTCAGGCTCCCCTGTTTATATATACATACACACGTATGTATTGAT